AGATGTGATCACTGTGGACCAGGCCCCAAAAGGGGCCCATGTGAGAGCAGGTGAGGGGTCGCAGGAGAAGAGAGGTGGCTCCCTAGCCAACCCCACCCGAGGGAGGCAAGCCTCCAAAACAGCAGAGGGTGCAAGCTCTGCTCCCCTGCCTCCCTGGGCCAGGCACTCTTCACCCAGGGGGATGGTCTTGCCCAATTCTGCCCTGTGTCAGGGTCTTAATGTCAATCACAAGATGATCCTAGGCATGCTCACAACAAGAAGGTGTTTCTACAGGGAGTGCTGGGGACATCACCCAACAGTAGGGCCCAGAAATACACACTGCACGTGACCCCAGTGCACAGGTCACACCACCGGGCTCCTGCATAGGGGCTGGAGTCCCAAGGGCTGGGTGCGGAGGTGGCACTGAGGGGTGGGAAATGGCCTTGGAAAGGCCCCGGGTCAGAGGCTGTAGAGGCAGTGGCAGGAAAGGCCTGACCAAGTGTCGTGGGGGGCAGTGGGCAGCCTGAGGAAGAGGATGGGTGGGGGAAGTGGCACAGCACAGTCACAGGAGAGTGGCCTTGGCAGGAGCCTGGGGGCCAGAGCCGGGTGGTGAGCTGGCACTAGGGAGCAGGGGAACCAGCTGCTGTTTTTATATTATATAGGTACACCCAATGAAAATGCTAGGTCCTAGGAAAGACCAATGTTGCCTTACATAAACTTATATAAACTTCTCATTTTGAGTGAGAGTGGCTTTAAAAATTTTTTTCGGATATATTTTTCTTTTATTGAAGAATCATTGATATACAATATATTGGTTTCAAGTGTACAACATAGAGATTTGACAGTCATCTACATTATTAAATGCTCACCCCACCCCAACTAATGCAGTTACTTACTGTCAGCATAGAAATACGTTACAGGGTGTGGCTTTCCTATGGTGGGTTTTACACATGACTGACCCACGGAATTCTTGACCAAGACATTCCCACTGGAATCCTGACGGCTGCCCCCTCCCTCCGCACACTTACGCATCAGGGTGACAGGCGCTGTGAATAAACAAAGCAAAATCAGGAAGGGCTGGGCAGCAGGTGCCGTGGGCTGTCTGCGCCGAGAGCAGCCTTCTCACGCCAGCCAGCCAAGGCGGAGGGAGTGACTCTCCTCTGAGCAGGGGCTGCCCTCTTCTACTGGGATGCAGTCAGGCCTGGAGGTGTGCATCCAGGATTCCCATCCTGCCCAGCAAGACGTTTCCCTGCCAAATGTTTCACAATGACGCTGTTCCTTAGGATTTTATTTAGGACCCAAGTGAACACTGACCAAACAGATCCCTCAATCACTATTTTCACTTTTCCAAAGTTAGATTTTGCCACTGATGTGCACATTCGGTCCCTACACGTCACTGTATTTTCACACAGTCCTTGCGGTTTGTTACACTCACTCACAGGCTCTGGAGTGCCAGTCCAGGGATCCATTCTCAGCCCATCATCCTACATGAGAAAGGAGAAGCTAATTTACACAGCTTTTCCTCTTCAGTCTCTGGCTCGTGAGCTTTTGACAAAACGCGTCCTTCACCAGCCAGTGCGCTTCCGTATGAAGTGGAGTGGAGGTCTGCTCCTGGCCCTCCAGGTGAAGATCAAAACAGGTGGGATGGACAGCTAGGGTTGCAGGAGCTTCTCTGTGCCGTCCGTGGCATTGTTGGGCCACGTGGGACCTGCAGGCTTCCCTGGTCAGGGAGGATAAACAGCCAATAATAAACAGGAGACCAACTTCCTTCTCCCAGCAGCCCGGCCAGGTAGCACACCAGCAGGCTCTGCAGTCTGTGGTGGCGGGTAAGCGTGTCTGCAGCATAGTGAGCCCACGGCATGTGGTCCCTTAGTCCCGTAGGCAGTGTTACAAATTCCAGAGCCCAGTGACATGAACGTGTCTGCCCACGTGTGAGGCTTTCCTCCTGTAGCAACTAATCCCATGTTGTCCTACCTCTAGAGACCAATATAACAAAGATCTTTTTTTTTTACACCAGATTATTTTTTAAAATCCACACGCTTTCTACCTTAGATGTTCTGGGGTGAAGTGCTGTGCATGCTTCACTGGGTGGCCTCTCCATGCAAGGAAGACAATCAGGCGGACACGTTTGACATCTTAGTCAATGTGCTGCCTAATTAGTGGCGATTTTTTTTGAGGGGGAGGAACCATGTTAATCTTGTCAATTGGATGACACTCTGGATTTAATAAAAATGTGGGAAAGTAAATACCTATAAAAATTAAATATATTCCTGGATCAGAAAAAGAACTGTGTAAAAACTGAGAGGCTCTGACTAAGGCCTGTGGTTTGGGTCACAGTGTTACACCTGTTTTGATATACTTGTTTTGATAAACAGGTGTAATGAGGGAAACTTGGGGGGAGGGTACACGGGAAGTCTACCGGTAATTTTCCCAACTCTTCTGTAAGTCCAAAATTATTTCAAAATGAAAAGCTACAAAAACTGAATTATGTAAGGACACCATTGTGGCTTTAAGGCTTCAGGAAATGGATAGGAGAAATTTGAAGTCCTTCTAAAATCCTCAGAATTTTCTAAAGCAAGATACCCTAAACAAAAAAGTTAGGCACGAGCCTATAAAAATAGGAAGAATTGAAATACCAACTTGAAAATTAAAATTCTGAAAAGATTCATAAAATAGAAATGACTGATTACATTATAAATTATTTTTGAAAAACTGATTTTCTGAAGCCCTGCAGGCATGCACTCCACTTTACTGGATCATTTATTTAAATGAACTGGCTGAAATTGTGTTCAATTTTTTGTTTTGGAAATAAACTTTTTAAATGTTTCTAGAAAAAAAAAAAGTCAAATAATAACAAGTCTTGGCAAGGATGTAGAACAGGAGCCCTCATACACTGCTATGGGAACATAAAATGGTGCAGCCACTTTGGAGAACAGTCTGGCCATTCCTCAAATGATTAAACATGGAGTTACCATATGACCCAGAAATTCCACTAAGCATAAACTCAAGAGAAATAATAACATACATCCCCACAAATATCTGTACATAAACATTTATAGCAACTTAGTCATAACAGCACAAAGTGGAAGCAACCCCATCCCATCCATCAGCTGATGAAAGGATAAATAAACAAAATACGGTATATATCCATACAACAGAATGTTATTCAGCCATAAAAAGGAATGAAATACTGATACATGCTACAGCATGGACAAGCCTTGAAAACATGTTATGTTAAAGAAGCCAATCACAAAAGATCACATTTTATATTATAACAGTTTATGATATGTCCAGAATAGGCATATTCATAGAAACAGTAAGTACACTAGTGGTTGCTCAGAGCTAGGGGAGAGGGAATAAGGAGTGACAGCTACAGGGAATGGGTATCTTTCTGAGGTGATGAAAATGTTCTAAAATTGACTGGTGATGGTTGTACATACCTGTGGAAATACTAAAAACCATTGAATTGTACACTTTAAACAGGTGAAGTGGATGATATCTGCCTTACAGTTCAATACTGTTTTAAAAACCCATCTCCAAGCTACCTCAGTTCCCCTAGTGTATATGAACCATACTCTCCACATCTGGGCTTAACTTCCCATCAGAATTTCAACAACTCCCTTCCCCACTTCATAATAACTTAGAAGATAACCCTACCCACACCCACTTCCAAAAGCAAATCTGCAGTTTTTTTCCAAGGAAAAGTGCCATACTTATTATAATATTTATTTTATTTCTTAAACATTTAACTGTATAGAACTGTCCTACCCTTAAGTTCCTCTTTTTTATGTGTTACTGGTGAAGTTTTTGAGTGTTATGCCCCATCCTTGTCCTTCCCATAAGCTGTGTTTTTAATTGCCCAATTTTGCATAGTTCAGGGATTTTTTGGAATGCATATGCCATATTATAACAGCACTAACTGTAGAATCAGATGACAATGCCTCCCTCAAATACGTCATTATCAGAAAACATAATTCAAAGCTAAAATGCTAAAAGAAAGTAATGTTATTTGGGATACTGTGGTAACAAGTGTTCCTAAACGGACACGAGATGGTTCAGAAGAGGAACCAAAAGTACTCATTTCAAAAGGAAGAAGTCAGTAGTTCATGCAGCCTAGCTACCCAGAATGCATCCTTTGTGCTACCTGGGCTGCTCCCTTCCAAAGCACACAAAAATACCATGTTCCATTTCAGTTTCTATGGTTTCATTCATTCCCCTGGCATGGTGTGTCCTTCCTTTTCCCCTTGGTCTCACCAAATCTCATACTACTGATCCAAGTCCTTCATAGACCATCCCCCTTCCAGCTCATTCTTCAGTGTCTCCCACCCCTCTGAGATCCTACAGCACTTCCTGTCTGATTTACAATCTTAGTCTCATATTGTTTGCTCACTTCACTCTTGCAACTCGAACATACAAGCTCCTCAGGGAGAGGATCATTACTAATATTTCAGAATCCACACAGAGTGCAACACAGAGCACAGAGTAAGAAACTCAAGAAGTTCCTGCTGCTGGGTGATAAATAGAACAAAATCATGGGCACCAAATAACCTTCCAGTTTCTTCAGTTACAACCCAACCATTTCTGGTACAAATCACTTCAATGCCTTTCAAGAAGCTAAAATTTTAACTTAGCTATGCTGAAAATATATATGGCTACTAAGGAAATAAAATCCTTTAGAACTTACACTCAGACATCTTATCACAAGAGGCTAAATAAGAAATTATAGTTGTTACACTAAACATCTTTAGATTGTGGGCCCCAATTTTATGTTATAAGATGGATGGAAGCAATTTTATCTGTAGCAATTTTATCACAGTGACAAATTATCCCTAAGGAGTAGTTATTAAAGCTTTCTCTTGGTAGCCAAAACCTTTTTTCAACAAAAAGCTAAGTGGAATTCTACTATACAGAAAAAAAAGCACAGCTGACTTTGCTAAAATGGAGGGAAGGGGACTGTAGTTCTGCCCGCTTGGGTCACTCTCAAGTACATTCCACCCCTTCCCTGTCCCCAGTCTGCAACTGCAACGGGTCCTTAAGGCATCTAGGAGAACCATTCAGTGCAGAGAAACACACAGGGAACAAGCAGCAAACTGGCATAGATAGAAAAATACTACATTAATTTTTCTAAATTTCAAACATCACTAAAATATAAAATTAAAACTTACCCATGCCTACTGAAAACTCTTAGCCATGCTTTGATGTTTGGTCCTAACAAACACAAACAAGGTACAGTAGTAAAAGTGGACAAAATAACTGCAAACAAAAATGTTTCCAACACCAACCTAGAAAAAAAGTTTAATTTTTTAGAAGCGTTAAAGGTGCACATACATATACACATAATCTCCCTTACCTTAATAGATTTAATATGAAAATATTTTTATACTTTACTTTGAAAGGTAACCTGAATCCTATCAAAATGGTAACTATAAAAAATTTTACTACCAAAATGCAAGTAATAAAAAACAATCTAGCAAATATCTGGCTTTAAAGTTCAGAAGTGTTAAATACTCTATGATCCATACTGACACTGTCCATTTCAAGAAACCCTATTTCTATAAAATTAACTTTCTTCCTCAATAGTCTCTAGAACTTTCTCTGCAATCAGTGGTTCAACTTTAAGTTGTATCAGAACTACTTGGAAAGGTAGATAAACTAAAGATTGGGAGGCCCACCTGTAGTTTCTGACTAAGGCCTGAGAACTTGCATTTTTATTAAATGATGATACTGCTGGTTTTAGAACCACACTGAGGATCACTGCTCCAGACATTCTGCTCTGAAATGGATGAGACAGAAACTACCATTTCCCATTACAAACCTCTAGTCTTTCCCTCTCTAGAAAAGAATTACCTGATAATTAAGTGCATATATAACTATATACAAATATATACAAGACTACATACATAGCTATACATGTGTCACAACACTCATTTCACCACGACCATTAATCACTGCTAAACTCAAGTTTCACAATCTAAGGTACATTGCATAAGAAACATTCATGAGTTTAGTTTTCACTAATTTAAAATTGGTCAGTTTTGGAAAAGTGCTGAGTTAAATTTTACTTCTAAATCATAAACATTTGTTTATTAAGTAATTAAATACAGGAATCTAATGACTTTTTTTTAAGAAAAACTCTCTTCAAGCACTTCAGAATCACATTTACTAAGAACTGATAGGTTAATTATAACTAACTTACATGTATCATTATAAGTCAGAGGTTTTGAGGGCCACACATTTATTCATACAATGTAGTTCTCTTCTACCTCCCCACCACATGCAACTGGTTAATAACAGGCTAGGTAATAGAAGCATTTAATGAATTAAGTTACTCCACTATTTTTCTAAAATATAACACTGCTAAGGAAGGGCAATGATGTCAGTATCCTCTGATCCAATAATTAAATACACCATGTTTTTTTCTCTATCATCAAAAGAATTAGCACATTGTTTAGTAAATGAGTGTTTTAAAATATAATTTGCCTTAAGGTAAAAATTTCAGACTTACTCTATTAGTGGTGCTCCATATAGAACAAAAATTACATGAAAGAAGAAACAAGACATAAGAAAGTAGATACAGCATTTCAAAAATCTGGTTACCTAAAAAAGAAATGAATAATTTAAAGACTCAGGAGAATGCCTAAAGGACAGTGAATGCTTCCATTTTATCTGTGAATACCATGTATTCCCGTGTGAGAGAGTTGAACATTCTTTGCGTTTGGCCATGCTGAAGTCACATCACATGACCTGTGCATAGTCAGGTGCTCGGGCCTCAACACAGTCCTGACAAAAAGCCTGCAAGGCAAGTATCACCTTACCCACCCACCCAACCAGCACTAGAGTTTCTATAGCATATATTCAGCTATGTTATTAATCAGTATTTACAAAATATTTACCAGTAATGCTAGGATACCAAAAAAAAGAGCTAGATTACAGTTATTATGTCATGATAGATGAAATACTTACAGAAAATAATGACAATAATTTTATTTCATTTAAACACATAATTTCTAGGAAAATTGCACCAAATAAGCACAATACTAAATAGTGCCCAAGATCATATTCATGTTACTGTATGATTCAAATAAAAAAAAACTTGCATGTCTGGTTATCAGGGTGTGAGACCTACTGGGTTTGATGCTTAAGAAGATCTCATAAAACACACATTCAGCTTTTTAAATCATAGGGCAGTAAATGTATTTTAAACTACCTAACAGAGAGCTTACATATAATATTGAATAATGTTAAGTGAGGACTTTGTAATAGTTAAGGGTTAAACTATAGCACATATTTCAGAAAATAGATTCTGATATCTGAAAATTTTAACACTATTTTGTTAAGGAAGGCCATATTTGAAACAAGAGCTACCACAGAGGCTTATTTTGTAATTTCTGAAAAACTACTAAGTGTCTTTCAGAAATGCAAAGAAGAAATGAAAATAAACTGAAATGTCTTATATAATATGGTTTAAAGATACAACTATTATATATATCTACCTTCAATGGTGACATAAAACATGACTAATAGGTTCACAATGCTGTAACACCCACTAAAAATGTCCTATTTCCACAATAAATACATAGCAAGGAGCTATCCAATACTGTGGTCAGCCTTCCAGAAAGTAAAAAGCTACTGGTTTGAAAAAAAAAGATAAGGTTCTCCTTACTCACTGTAAATAGACCAACCCAATGAGTACTTAATACTTTATTCTTCCCTTAAAAGAAACACCAGCTTCAATCTAAAAATCAGCTATCAAGAAATAAGCCTTACCTTGTATGTTAATGAACTTCTTTTAGAGGATGCACTTCGTTTCACTACTAAATATACTACTAGATTGACGGTAGTTACAAAAACAGAACAGATGCACAACCATGTCAAGTGTGTTTCCAATACTGAGAAGTTCTCCAAGAAGAATGATGGAATAAAAATGCTTAGGATAATTGAAAATATGCATAAAAGATGGGTATACAGTAGTCTCTTGATATCAGTATCTTTCATGGTGTTTCCTTGAGTGGCTCTCTAATAAAAAACAAATTAAGAAAAGAGCATATGCAATAATGACTTTTCCATTGTCCTAAATGCTCCAATGCCTTAAAGTAAGCCACGAACCAGTCAATTATCTATGGACAGTAACATACAGCTGACCCTTAATCAACACAGGTTTGAACTGCACAGGCCCACTTATATGTGGATTTTTTTCAGTACATACATTGGAAAAATTTTTGGAGATTGGTAACAATTTTAAAAAACATCTTTGTTTCTCTGGATTACTTTATTGTACTAACACATACTCTATACAAAATATGTGTTAACTGAGTGTTGTTACTGGTAAGAATTCCAGTCAACAGTAGGCTACTAGAAGGTAAGTTTTGGGGGAGTCAAAAGTTATACATGGGTTTTCAACTGAGGCCCTAACCCCTGAGTTGTTCAAGAGTCAACTGTTTGTTTCAGAATATAGGAAGATGAGTATGTGCAAATGCACATGTAGACTAGTGTGGTACAAACAGCTCTCAGAATCTAAAAAGGACAAATTTACTAATTTCTTAAATATTTGTGACTAGTTTCTGCAAAAGGGTTATATACTAGGATGAATTTAGCAATTCATTTTCCTTATTTTGCCAAAATCACAGAGATGAAAACTGCATGAATTAACTATCTGCCCTTATAGTTACATAACTATAACTGGAAATATAACCTACACATTCTAGAAACTCATGAATACACCATGGCTAAATTGTTGGCATTTTACCAATGTGGACCCTTCTCTTACATCATAGTAGTTCAAATCTTCTGGCAAATGCCAGTGACACCAAGTGCACACTCAAATACTCAAACGGTGGCCAATGTAACCAAGAAAATTCAAAGAACATTGTGCATTGTGCTTAACCAAAGTTCCCCAGTGCTTCAGAAATACCAAAATGACAATGTATGTTACTAAGTGCTAGATTCCAATCCAAAGTAGAACATAATAGGAGGAAAAAAGCTTTTATATATATAAAGCATAAGTTTTATATATATATTTATAAATTACCTAATAGAGAACTTATACATAGTATTGACTGTTCAGGATCCAAAAGAAGGCAGGTCCATTTGGGCAGCCCCTGGGCCATGCTGAAATGGCACTTGAGCAGGCTGGCCAGGGGCACAGAGGCTCTCAGTCATTTAGGCAGTTAGCAGGAAATGCTCATTATATAAATGTAAAGTAATGGTCCACATTACATTGTGAATATTCAAGGGGAAAAAGTATACAGTATATATATTTTATACACACACCCAGAGGGCGCCCACTAATGCAAAAGGGCGAGTCCAGACCTTACCCTAACAGCTCTTTTTAATTCACACTGTATATTTCAAAGGCAAATATTTTACTGATAAGGAAACAGGCTAAGACAAGTTAGGAGTCACGTGGAAGGTCCCAAGCTCCCAAGTGCTAAAGCCATTTCAAAGTCTAGCTTTTATACCTTTAATATAAAAATATACACTAGGGGTCGAGAGGAGAATGAATACCAAGAAGGGAGAAAGGACACGTGTTTCACAGGTGTCATCCTCAACTGACTGTGGGGCGGGGAGGGAGTTAGGAATTCATTGTCTCAACAGATACCTAGTCGTACATTTTTCTGGACCACTCTCAGAATCCCAACTGATACACGCAGATTCGGATCTAACCCAACGAGCAGCACCCAAATTCAAATGCTTGCTGAAAGAATAACGAACGAAAGAAAGTGGGCGGGTGTTTGCCTTTCCTGTGAAACCAGTCTTGTGTTAGGCCCTAGCGAGCACATAAGGACACCCAGCAGGTGTTCCGCTGGGCGGCCACTGGCTGGGTCCGCAAGCACTACGGATGCGGAGGCCATTCAGAACGGATCCCAGAGGAGCCTTAGCGGGAACTGCAGGACCTTTTTGCAGACCCACCCTAAACTGGGTCCCTCGGGACTCTGTCCAAGCATCAGCCAACGTGAATGTGGGCAGAAGGGGACGAGCTAAGAGGCATAATCAAAGAGCACAGGGTGGAGACCAGGAGAAACCAAGAAAGACACAAGACAGTCGGATCCGAAAGAGGGTGGGACCTGAAGGGCAGCCCCTGGGTCACGCCAGAATGGAGGCGCTGGAGAGACCCGAGGGCACGAGCTGGCCAGGGGCACGCAGGCTCATGGCCATTTGGGCGATTGGCTGGGGTTGCCTGCACCCGCGGGACGCTCGCATACCGGAAGCGTTCAGCTGAGCTTACCTAACTCTCCCGCCCGCGGAGGAGAACGCACGACTACTCCCTCCCACCATCAGGTGCTACTCACCGCCCCAACTCTCACGCAGGCGCAGGCCTGTGGGGGCGGAAACCCAAAGCCTCACAGCCAATCGCAGAGGTGGAAGGGCGGGCTATGGAAGCAGCCCCGCCTTCCTGCCTGCGTTTATTCCTCCCGTGGCTTTCCAGGTGTAGGATCAGCGCGGCAGAGGGCGGGGGGGCCGGAAGTGGATAGTAGTAACCCGGAAGGGGAGTCCTCCGCTGGCTGTGGTGTTGATGTTTTCGGGTTACTGCTACGTCTCTGATTAAGGGAACCCCCGGGAAGGATGGTGTGCGAAAAATGTGAGTTAAGGGACAGCTTCTGCGGGAGGAGACTAAGAGAACCTAACTGAAGTTCTCCGGGAACTTTGCCCTTTCTTTGTTTTTTCTTCGGCCACAGGTCTCTGATTCCAGCCTCTGCTATCGTTCCCTTTGACGGCTCCTGTGCCTCCCCGATGACTATATAGTTGTTAAGCTTTCAGGGTGGTGTCTGTTTTCTACATCTTTGTCTATTTCCATTGCCTACCCCCGACCCCGGATCTCATCCCCTACAGCTTCTTGACTGGCTTCACCTCGCAGACCTTCGTGGTTAGAATGGATCTTCAAAGTCATTTCTGCAGCATTTAGAGTTACCAGGCTTAGCAGATAAACATACCTGATGCTCAGTTAAATTTGAATTTCAAGTGAACGAAGAATAATTTTTTAGTATAATCATATACCATGCAATATTTGAGGCTTTCCTCAGCTTTCTGCTCCTTCCTACTGTAAGTATTTTGCACTTTTAGGATATATTTTACTAAAAAATTATTCAGTGTTTATCTAAAACTTAAATTTAACTGGGGATCCTGTAGTTTATCTAGCAACCTTAAGTTAACATGCCTTCCGATGGCTTAACTGCTGTTTGCATCAATACCTACAGAACTGAGGGGGTCGGGCATAGACTTTCACCACCTTCAAAGCAGGCTGTGTAGATTTCACTGGCTTCTACAAAAGTCTTTGCCCCTATAGATGCTATCCAGTGATTCTAATGCTAACCTTTGAGTTTTTTAGAAAATATTTTATGGTGTTTTTACCTATGTTTAAAAATGGCTGTCATCATTTCTAAGTCTCTTTTTCTTAAGGCTAGACATTTCTGGCTCTTCTGTGACAAAATTTCAAGTCCTCTTATCCTGATCATTGCCTAATTAACATGACCTATTTTGTTTATATCCCCCCAGCAAAAAACTTTGAACACAGATTCCTGTGAGTTTGAATTGCAGTTGTTATATTAGGTAAAAGAATGATCATGGACAAGTTAGTTACCTAGTATTTCTTGGCCTCGGTTTTCTCATCTGAAAAGTGAGAGTAATACATAATTCAAGGAGTTTGTGAGAATTAAATGAGATGATGTGGGTAAAGCCTTTTATAAAAGTGCCCTAGTGTATACTAAAAAGCTGGTCATTTCTATCATAACCCCCTAATATGTGGCAATTAGAATTAAATGCTGCTCTATTTTGTGGGAGGGCACAAGTGAAACTTATACTTCCCTTTATGTGTACTTGATACCACTGTTGTCTCACAGTAAGCTTTAAAAAATTATATTGAGAGGTAATTGACACATATAGTTCACCCATGTAAAATCTACAATTCAGTTGTTTTCAGTATATTCAGAGTTGTGCAACCAACACCACAATTTTAGAACATCATTACTCCAAAAAGAACATTAGGCTTTTTTTAACATTAACATCCTTTAATTCTCCTCCATCCTGTACTTAAGCAGTTTTTTGGTCTTGCTTATTTGAGTGAATATGACTTAAATATTTTAGATTATGCACCTGCCCTGATGTCTTTTCTCTTAAGTAGCATAGTCCTTAAATGTGTAAATCTGACCTTCTATGTAATTTGTGTAAATTCTGTACATTTATTTTCTGAGGATGGGAATTCTGCCTGGTTTCACTTGTTTTGTGTGATGTTTTTCACACTGTAAGTGCTTTGTCCCTAGGAAATTGAGGATACTGGGAAAATTGTGACAGTTAATTTTCCAAGGTACATAAAAATTTAGAGAACCCAATATCTAAGGTGGTATTAAAGTAAATACACATACTTGATTCTGGACCACCATGTGTCAAGACAGGTCATTTACTTCTTACTTCTCTGCTCTTCTGAAAGTCTGTATTATTTTTTTGGTCTAATACCTTTCTACCTTTTGTAGTGTCATATTCCACAAATAAAAATATATTCTATTACATGTCTCATATCTCTCGATCTATCAAGTCATTCCACTCACCCAGTAAATAAGCTCAGACCTCTCCTATATGTAAAGCTACTCTCTTAAATAACTATTTTAGCACTCTTTTTGCCTTTTCATAAATTTTTTGAAAGACTTATTGTTTATTACCTTCAGATTTTCAGTTACTTCTTAGTGTTTTATAAACTGACTGTTACATTGCCACACTACTGAAAGAACTTTAAGAAGTTCACCAGTGATCTCCTAATCACCAAATTCAAAGACGTTTCTTTCAGTCTTATTCTATTCCTCTGTAGCTTTAATATTTTTTCTAGGTTCTCTTTGAATTTACTTCTTCCCATGCTTCCTTACCATTATAATATTCAAGTTTTCTTATTTCTCCTTTTTTCCTTTAAATGTTTCCCATTGAGATGTCTTTGACTTTCTTTGACTCTGAGTTTTTGAAAAACTTTTGACTCTTGCTTTTGGAAATACATGGCTTCGAGTAGCCCATCAAGCCAATGAATGTCTAATCCGTATCTCCAAACCTGACTTCTCTCTTACCTAAGCACCAATTGAAAGTTTTTTTCCTAAACAATCCTGGGAACCTCTACTTGGTTGTTATCTAGTAGTTTAAATACTTCCAAGACTGAATTCATCATCATACTCCACAAATCTGTACATTTTTTCCCATGATTTAATGGCATGACAGTCTTCCCAGTTACCTATTTACAAAGCCTCAATCATCTCTCATTCATTCCCTTATCCTCTGTAAACCTACATCCCAACAGTTGCCTGTCCTGCTTATCTTACTTCCATAGGATAGTTCAGATTTTCCCTAGCCTCTCATTTATTCCTCAGCTACCCTAGTTGAGATCCCCATCACTCTTGAGTTAGATTAATGGTCCCCTATCAGCCCCCTTCCCCTTAAACTTCTCTCCCTGCTTTTGGCTCTCCTCAGTAAACCATCCTACATGCATGTGAAGGCCACCAGGGAAAATTGCCCAAATGAATGGATTGTTAACACTAAAATTTGCAGTTCCTAATTTCTAGATCTCTAATACTATTTATCAGTCTTTTTTATTTATCTTTTCTCAGGTCTCTTGCCCTTTGTCATTAGGGATTGTACCAAGCCCTCTGATTACTTAAACTTCCTCCTACCCTCATCTATCTCATCTAATGCTGACAAATAGCTTCTTATAGGTATAAGAAAAGCAAGGTACTCAAATGGGAACATTCTCAACTTCTCACTTTTACTATACCTGTAAACATATCTACATCCATACCCACTTTACCTCTTTCTCTTTCATCTTTGGAGGAAAATGCTGCTCATGTGTCTTTGTTGCCATCCCTTCTTACCTCTTCTAGGTCCTTCGCCCCTATATCCTCTGGAATCTTTAATCAGCTCCCCTTCCATATCAACAGGCACCGTTAAACCCTGACTCCACCTTCCTTCTTGCATTTTCTTATCTTTCCTTTTCATTCATGAAACAAGTATCCCATTCATACCAAGTGTTAGACAGTAGGACCAAAGGGTGAGGACCTTGTCTTACTATTCTTCATCATTATGCTGGGACATTGTTCAGAGTAGTCATAGCAGATACCTGAATAGAACCTAAATATTAGTGCACTCTATCATATCTCTAATTTAAAACCTTGAATGAATTCTCAGTGTGAGTAAAATAATTTTGGGTTTCTGTATTTAGAGCCTGGCATTCAGGATGACCATCCACAATAGTGTTCCAGTTTATCTTTCCAATTTCATTTTCACTTACTCCTACTTTCCTCACTCTTTAGTCAAACCAAAGTACTTTACATGCCCATGTGTACCCTGAGCTTTCTGTGCCTTTCTTGAGGATACGTCCTTTGTCTAGTTTGCATTTATCCTCCTTCCTCCTCATTCTTCACAGTTCCATTACCACATACCCAAACCTCTGTTGCTTTCTCCACACAGTTTTCCTGAATTTTCCTAGCCAAGGTTATTTCTTTCTCCATGGAATTTTTCCTAGTAATTTAACTCTCAGTTATTATAATTTTTATATTCTAGTTTATGTTTTGATTGAATTGTTCTTAATATTTTGGGGGGTCTTTGATTCCTTTGAGAATCTGATGGAAGTTGTAGACTCTTACAAGAAAAGAAATGGATATGCATCAGGTTTATAAAATTTCATCTTGTCACATGTGGAACCTAGAGAAAATAGTGTATTGTAAGCTCCTGAAAACCTAGAGCTTTATCTAATTAATCATTTTATTTTTCTTTGAACTTTGTAAAGTGGTTTATACATCATAAGTGCTTAATATTTATGGAATGAAGAGATTTATGAGTTTTTTAAGATTTATCAGATATTTGTAAAGTATGCAAGCACAGTGAAAGCCTATTTTAAGCCATCTTACTGTGTATTACTGAGACTCAGTTATCCATAACCCATAGTTAATATCTTAAGTCTCAGTTCACTGACCCCATACCTCAGCTTTAACAGGCTCCTACTGTAATATGACTGTTGATACCATTGTGAACTTTAAGTACAATGTACTGTATTTAATAGATAGTAAATTCTAATTCCCATTACTTTTACTGTTTTGTTATAACAGGTGAAAAGAAACTTGGTACTGTTATCACTCCAGATACATGGAAAGATGGTGCAAGGAATACCACAGGTATTTTTCCTTTTAGATAATGGAAGTTGAATCAAATTCTTCCTGTGACCAATGTTTCAATTTCTACATTATTTGTAAAATAAAATGTTGTTTTATATACTCTGTATATTTATTAATACCAGATTCCCTAATGATTTGTATCTTCTATTTAGTTCTCTCATTTTCAGGTAGGAGTTCCTAATCTAGTAGGCAGGAAGTAGCAAAATAATTAGATGATTTTCACTCAATGAGCATATCTAATAATTGACTTGATTCAGCTTAATTAGTATCTGTGTTTAATTCCCCCTCCTTACTGACTTTTATATTCTTGAACAAGTCATTTAAAGTGTTATAGCCTTTCTATATTCAGCCATAAAAAAGAAACAAGTCGCCATTTGTGACAATGTGGATGGACTTAGAGGATATTATTCAGCCGTAAAAAAGAAAGAAGTCGCCATTTGTGACAACATGAATGGACCTAGAGGGTTTTATGCTAAGTGAGATAAACCAGTCAGGGAAAGACAAACACCATATGATTTCACTTACATGTGGAATCCTAAAACAAAACAAAGTGAACAAAATAGCAATAGACTTATAAGACTCTGAGAAGTGACTGGTGGTTACCATGGGGGAGGGTGTGGTGGGTGAGTGAAATAGGTGAAGGTGATAAAGAGGCACCAAATTTAACAAAAGAAAACTTCACATTAGTGTGACTATTGCAATAAAGATAATTGAGCTTCATCAAAAATTTATTATAAAATAAATTATACTGATACTGACTTATGGTACCAAATAAATAAATAAATCCAGTATATGTTATATGTGAAATGTGTAGAAATAACCCACTAATATATACGTATATTTTGCTATAGAAAGTGGTGGAAGAAAGCTGAATGAAAATAAAGCTTTGACTTCAAAAAAAGCAAGGTAGGTATGGAAGCAGTCACAAATTTCCACTCTTACTCTTTAGCATACTGGAGTGAACCTGGTATGCATCATTCTATTGTGATAAAATAGCTTGGTAGTTTCTAGCAGGCAAAACCAAACTGTCTGTTAAAACCTGCTGGTTTCACCTTGTTCCTATTCACTGTATCATTATATGAAGATATTAGCACTACTTAGTTTTTAATTATAGCAGAAAACATGACTTGTATTTTATCTAATTCTTTTTTATCCCACAAATTAGAGGCAACAGAGAAATGTGACAGATCATAAATTCTGGAGTCAGTCCTAAATTTGAATGTATGTCTGTCACTGTCCAGCTCTCTGACCTTAATCAAGTTAAGCCAGTTTCTTAACTTTTGAACTTTGCTTTTTAATATGAGCATGGGAATAAAAGTGTCTCCCACTTTAAAAATAGTTTTTTGACACCATGCTTTACTATTTCTAGTCTTAAAAAGTCCATGAACCATTCCAGCTGCCACTCTGTTTCCTCACTTCCCTTTATAGCAAAAGTTTTCAAAAGCCTTATCTAGATACCTTCTCAGTGTCCTTAAGTTCCATTCTCTCCTTCAGCCTCTCCAGTCAGGCCTTCATCCCTACCACACCCTTGAAACTGCTCTTGTCAAGATTCTTGTCTTGCCCATGACCTCTTAAAATGATGACCACTTCTCTATTCTTAACCTTATTTAACCTTTTAACAACTGTTATTTTTGCAACCCTGTATTCTCTTGGCTTTGGGATAACACACTCTCCTTTCCTTCCAACTCAGTGGCTGTTCCTTCTTAATCAAGTGCCTCTGGACTCAATCCTAGACCTTTCTTTTTCTTTTTTTTTTCTTTTCCCTATTTATAAATTTATAATCTCTCAAGTGACTTTAGTCCAATTGCTTTAAATTCGAACTATATGTTAATAACTCCCAGATTTATCTCTAGTCATGACTTCTCTGAGCTCAAACATGTATCTAACTGCCTGCTTGACTTAGCCAATTTGATATCTAACAAGCAACCTCTTTTTCCTTTAGTCTTCCAATCGTAGTCTTCTCATCACTGCACCACTGTCCAGCCCAGCTGTGTAAGCCTAGAAGCCAGAATCTTTCACTGATTCCTCCTTTTCCCTCACGTCCCATATCCATCAGTAAGTTGTTTGACTCTGCCACCAAAATACAGCCTGAATCCATCTATTTCTGCCCATCTCACTGCTATCACCCTGTTCCAAATCACTGTTATTTCTTACTTGGATGCTGTTGTAACTTTCTATCTCTCTGCTTCCTCTCTAATTCCTTGTAGTTCAGTCTCATAGTAACCAGAGTGGTCCTTTAAAGGGCATATAACTCACTGCTCAAAAGTGTACAGTGGTTTTCTTTTTCACATTGAATATAATCCAAACCCCTTACCATGTTCGTACAAGGTTCTCCACGATCAGGCCCCTCCCATCTCTCTGACTTGCTGTTATATCAGCTCCTGCATCAGAAATCCCAAGTCCACTCACACTGGAAGAGGTTTATGCTTGCTGCTCCCTTGAACTGATCCCTCAGAGCTTAGATAGTTGGCTTCTATTTACTTGGGTCTCAGCTGGAATGTCACCTCAGAGAGGGTCTAACAGCATCTAAACTAATGTCTTCCCTTCTTCCCTTCATGTCTGCCACAGTATCCTATTTGAATTTGCTCTGCAACATGTGTCAGTATTGGAAAAGCATGTTTGTTTCCTTAATATGTATCTCCTCTCACTAGAATATCAGCTTTCTAAGGTCAACGTTCATTGTTGGTATATAAAACAGTAATAGGCACATACTAGGCACTCAATATTTATTTGCGAAATGAATAAATACTTGTTTCATGGCATTGTCCCAAGGATGAGAAATAATAATAAAGCTTGTACAACATACAGTGCTAGGCACATAAAGATGCTTATTAAATAAAGGGTATAAAACACGATATTGTAATTTTCAGTGCAGCATCACACTATGTATTGTTGACTGATTTATTGCTGTCTTCTAAGACCACTCAGTTCTTATTGACCACGTTGTTATTTTAGAAACTTCTGGTTCTTTTATGTTCCCAAACTTACTCTGATACCATTAATAAGTAGCTATTACTGTGGATACTTTATCTCATTTTGGAAAGTGTACTACTGTACTGCATGGAATCTTGAGATAACAATATTTGTAAGATTCATCGTCTCTTAAAAAAGGAAAGAGCTCTGCCACTTACAATATTTTAGAGATAATAAAATGTGCATCTTAGAATACAGTAAGGTTTTCAGAAAAAGTAATCTCTAGACACACTGGTACAAACAAAATTAGCTTATTTAAAGGAAGAATAGTGTCTACTCTGTCTTCTCTTGTGAAGAGTAAAGTGGCATTCTTCTGGGTTTGGAAAAATTAACCTTTGAAAATGAGCCATTGTGTTGTATCCTAAGAGAAGAAACCAGGTCTAGAACAGTGTTGGTGTTTGGTATATGAATAGCATTATAAAAAGTTACTGATAATTTAGGGGGAAGAATTTCCTCTAAAATTGTTTTGCACTCCAGTCAGTATAAGGTGGCATTTTTATGTAATAGAAACCTTTTTATCTAAAGGGATTGGATTGGTTAATTGAAAACATCAGTTAAAGCCAGCAATCATTAAAAGATATACATACTTTTAAGTTACAACACGTAACTATACATGCATTCACCAGTCATTTGGGATGAAGACAAGGTCTTTCGAGTATGAGTCAATGGTGATAAGACTTCTTTATCATTTTCCTCACATCAATCATGACCAGAGTATATATAAATATATCCAGTATCTTTAAAGTGGAGCAAGAACTGACACTTGCAAAGTTCCAAGACCTTCCACTACGATTTTTCCCCAATTTTAAAGTTGTCTTACTCATGCTTAATTCAGTAGCAATTTTTATGATTCATACTTATCTAGTCATCCTGAAGCATTCACTAAGTTTTTAATAGAATCAATCACACTTTTGCATTTCATCAGTTTCCGTAATATTTAATTATATCACACAAATAGATTAACAGATATAACTGATATAAACAGGTTTGGGATTAAGTACAACTTACTCTTTATAAGCATATAACTTGCATGGAAGGGGCAGAGGTGTGCAGGCATGTTAGGAGAGGGGCCAGCTAGAAGAGTGCTGTGCCTGTCAATTTTAGAGTTTAATAGAGGGAATAGAGAGCATGGATTTAATCTCATTTGTTGCTTACATGAAGCTATTTAAGAGTATTTCTATTGTGTTACATATTTTTCTTCCTTTAAAAACATCTCTAGATTTGATCCCTATGGAAAGAATAAGTTCTCCACTTGCAGAATTTGTAAAAGTTCCGTGCACCAACCAGGTTCTCATTACTGCCAGGGCTGTGCATACAAAAAGGGTAAGTTTATTTTAATATTGTATTTCAGTTCGTATCAAACCTACTTCATTTGGTACTGATTAGATAACATGGAAAACTATTAGCCTTTCATAAGTCCTGTTAGTCAGATGTTCTTTTTTCTAAGCAAAATAAAATTTAGAACTTGTTCACAGTAAAGGTATATATTTTCTTTTTCTCTTAATTATTTTTTAAGCTTCAGGAGTGACTTAAGTAAACCAGACCAGTAGTATTTGATATTTGCTTGTTATTATTAGTTGATATTATGATTTGATTGCCTACATATTTTTTTGTTTTAGGCATCTGTGCGATGTGTGGAAAAAAGGTTTTGGATATCAAAAACTACAAGCAAACATCTGTCTAAATGTATTGGTGAAGTTTCTGGCTTTCTATTTGATTTTACTTTCTGCTTTGAATTTGCAAGGCATAACATAGATGTTCAAGTTACAAAATAACATGTCTTATTATGACATGAATTTTAAACCAGGCAAGTTCATTGGTACTCATTCTTTTGCTCTCAAGAAGTTCTGAATAGCAACACTGTAACCAATTTTCTGCCTTGTTGTTATTTTCATGACAAACATCTTACTGAACTAGAATAAGTAGCAAATTTAACAAAAAAATACTTTCCCAGTTCTGTATGCACTTTTTATTTAATTATTCATGTAATTCTTACTATCCTCTCCCTTTACCTTATTTATAGATATTGAAAAAGTGAGATCATTGGTATTTTTTTCTGAACTTGGCATCCAGATTTATTCTTCCCTCATTCCCTTGTTGGCTGCATAGTTCATAGAATCAGCAGTCTTTTCATTCATTGCAGTTTCACAGGGCATTTAAATATCAGACCATTGGTGCTGAAGAGTTCCTTAGTAATTAGCTCAGACTCAAATCGAACACAAGTTGTGTTTATGATATTTTTTATTTGTCCTTGAAGCCAAAGTGCCAATACCTTTCATGTGAAACTGGGAATGCAAGAGACACTCTGTATGTATCCAAATGAATACACTGGGTTTTAGAAAAACACATAACACATGTTTCTTTGAATTCAAACTGTCAGGAAGGCCAGGAGAACAATGTTCACCCATGATGATGTGTAATGTTTTAATTGCCACTCTTTGGAAACTCTCTTTGAAGCAGAAACCAAACTTTTTTTAACCTCCTTCTCTGCCTCCCATCCCTGTATGCCCAATAAATAGAACAAAATAAGCATTTTGACTCTTTATATGTACATATAAATATGTATATATAATAGACTGCTGAAAGACCACAAAGATTTTTCTTATGCTGCCTCCAGAGGTTCAGGACTTCTGCTTTTGAAACCTGCAGCCTACTATGGGAGACCAAGAGGTTTGGGATTAAGTACAACTTTTTTAATTGCCAAGGGCAGTATATATAAATACATATCACTGTAAGATATGTAGAATAGATAATGTAACATATGGGGTATAGATAATTACATTTTTATTTGTTTAAACATTATAGAAAGTATTTAAAATTTTAACTGTTTCATTTATCTATAAGGTTTTTTAAACTTTTTCTAGAATACATTGTTATTCTTATCCAGAAAGATCACAAGGATGGTGCAAAAAATGCAATTTGCCACAGTAGCTCTGAAGGCAGGAAGTATCTTCTCATGCTGTAATCAATTTGGAATTTTTAATTAAAATCAATACAAGGGATCCATAATAGGACCCCGGTAGAGAGTGGCGAAGGTTCATGAAAAGTTGGGTTGGTCAACTTTGGGAAGAATACATCTCTCAGGTATCGACTGGGATCTAGACTTCCACAACTCACATTTCATATTCATGCCTTGAGTACCCTGCTTCCATAAATGATCCAATGGCCTAGCTTAGGTTCTATGAAGATTTTTGCTAGTATTACATCTCAGAACAGAATACAAATATTGTAAATCTTCATATTATTGAAGTAATACTATGACTACCAAAAATTGAATAGTTGTTAAATGAAAAGGAAGATCCCCAAACCAAACATGAACATAGTGTTTTTTAAAAAGAAGTCATAAAAACAGAAAATACCACATTCAGATAGCAGAATTAAGGACAAACATAGATTTTATTAAAGTAAATGCACAAATGATGAGATAACGTATTTTTTTAAATTTCAGATTGCATTTTATATACATACATAAATATGAAACAATTAAATACTAATAGAACACTTAAGTGTATTCATTAGAATATGCCGTCAAGATGACATAAGAATTACATATATGTACAGAAGTTTATGTATACATAGAAAACATCTGAAATCTTATTAGTACTGTTTTGCTCTGTGGAGTGGAGCTGGGGGTTAAGAAAAGAGAGGCTTAACCCTTTATAGCCTAATGCCAACAACCTAATAATTTTAGCCCCTAGTTCCCTTACCTGGGGTAACAGGAGAATATTAAGAATTTTAGTATCCTGGAAATGAATATTTACGAGCAGATATATGTATATATTTGTTCTGCGCATTTTAAGTAGAAGAAATATATATACTGTTCTTCACTTTGACTTTTTTAATATTTCTCATATTTGCTTTACCATTTTCTATCTCTTATTGTATATTTTTTCTTGACCTATTTGAGGGTACATTACAGACATCATATCCTTTGCCCCCCTTTTTTAAGGCAGTACAACATGATGGTTTGATTTATATATATTGTGAAGTAATTACCACATTAGGTTCCAGCTAACATTCATCTTCTCGTGTAGATGCAATGAAACAATTTTTATCCCTCTTTTCATAAAAATTTTTGTTTGAATTATGTGTAAATAAAAATTTATTCACAAGGAAAAAAAACTGTTCTCCTTGTGATGAGAACTCTTAGGGTTTACCATCTTAACAACTTTCTTATATACCACACAGCAGTGTTAGCTGTAGTCATACTGTACATTACATCCCTAGTACTTATTTATCTTATAACCAGAGGTTTGTACCTTTTGATTACCTTCAGTCCCCCTCCCCCCAACCCTCTGGCTCTAGTAACCTGATCTCTTTGTCTATGCATTTGGGGTCTTTTTTGTCTTTTTTAATTTTTTAGATTCCACTTGTAAGATCATATAGTATTTGTTTTTCTCTGATTTATTTCACTTAGCATAATGCCTTCAAAGTCCACCCATGTTGTTGCAAATGGTAGGATTTCCTCATTTATTTATGGCTGAATCAATGAATCAATGAAACAATGAATCAATATTTCATTGATTGTGTATGTGTGTGTGACACACACATGCAAACACACACATCATCACTTGTTTATCCATTCATCCATCAATGGGAACTTAGGTTTTTCCATGTCTTGGCTATTATAAATAATGCTGCTGTGAACATGGAGATGCAGGGATCTTTTTGAGTTAGTTTTCATTATCTTTAAATATATTTCTAGAAATAGAATTGCTGGATCATATGGTCATTCCTTTTTAATTTGTTGAGGGTCCTCTATACTGTTTTCCATGCTGGCTACACCAGTTTACAATCCCACCAGCAGTGCACAGGGTTCCCTTTTCCCCACATCCATGCTAGCATTTGTTATCTCTTGTCTTTTTGATGTTGGCCATTCTAAAGATCTGAGGTGATTTATCACTGTGGTTTTAATTCACATTTTCCTAACAACTAGTGATGTTGAGCATCTTTTCATATACTTGTTGGTATTTGGGTATCTTTGGAGAAAAGTTTATTCAGATCCTTTTAATTGCCCATTTTTTAACTTGATTATTTGGCTTTTTGTTATTGAGTTGTATGAGTTCTTTATATGTTTTGGATATTAAACCCCTTACCAGCTATATGGTTTGCAAATATTTTTTCCCATTCCATAGGTTGTCTTTTCACTTGGTTGATCATTTGTGTTGGTTGTGATCCTTTACCCTTTAATACCATGAATGTACTTAATAAGAACAAACATCAAAGTACAGTTATCAAATTCATGAATTTAGCATGGATACAATACTTTAATCTACAGTGCCTATTCCAATTTCATTTGTGATTCCATTGGTAATTCTTTTTCAGATACAGGATCTGGTCCAGGCTCAGATGTTAGATCATCATGATTCTGCTGGGACAGTTCAGCCTTCTTTGTCTTTTGTGGTATTGCTATATTTGTAGAATGCAGGACAGTTAACTTGTAGAATATCCTTTAGCTTGGGTTTTTTTGGTGTTTCCTTATGGTTACATTTGGTTATACAGTGTGGGCTGACATACTATGACTGATGTGTCCTCCGAGTGTCACAGCCAGACTCACATAATGTCCCTTTGCCCCCTATTAATAATGTTCATTTTGTTCTCTTGGATAAGAAGTCCAGTTTCTCCATTGAATAGTTACTATTTTTTTCCTTTTGCAGTTAGTGAGTAATTTGTGAGGATAAACTCTGAGACCATGTTGATATTCTAATCCTTCATCAAACCTGCTCCTTCTAGATTTAGCATCCTTTGATGAATCTTACCTGAAAAATTTTTGCTGTGATGTTTACAAAATTGTGATTTTCTCATTACATCATCCTTTCTGTATTAATTAAGAAAAGGTTTCTACTCCAAGGAAAAGGTTTCCCTTAACCAGGGTGGATATCAGTACAGAATAAATGTTTTTTTTCTGACCATTTGAGTGTTAGTTATAGATGTGATACCTCTTTACTTCAAATACTTAAGTATATATTTTCTAAGAACAAGAATATTTTCTTATATAACCATAGCACAATTATCAGAACCAGGAAAGTAACTTTAATATAATACTGTTAGCTAATCTTTTCCATATTTCACTACTTCCAGTAATGGCCTTTGTTTAAAACACTGATCCAGGATCCAATCCAGGATAACACATTACATTTAGTTGTCATGTCTCTCATCTCCTTTAATCTAGAACCATTCTAAAATCTGTCTCACAAAAATATCAAGGTGGTAAAACACATAGATCAGTTATTTTATAGAATTTCACTTAATCTAAGTTTTTCTGCTGTTTCTTTACAATTAAATGGAACATACACATTTTGGTAGGGATATCAGAAGTGATGCCTTCTCCTTTTCAGTGCATCATACCATGGTATCAGTTGTCCCATTACAAGGTATTAACTTCGATCACTTGTTTTAGGTGATACCTGCTAGATTTCTCCACTGTAGTTTCTATTTTTTTTCTATTAAGTTAATAAGCATTTGGTAGGGAGATACTTTGAAACTGTAAATATTCTGTTTCTCAGCAAACTTTCACACACTAATTTTAACATCCAGTGATGTTTCTTGGCTGGATTAATTGTTACTCTGGGGTTGCCAAATTGTTTTCTAATTCTGTCATTCCTTTTACATTTATTAGTTGGCATTCTGCATTTGCTGTAAGGAAAAGCTTTCTCTTTTTCCAACTTAATATTAACTCACAGATTCCTGTTTTATTCAGTCCGTTATTCTCATTTGTTTTGATGTCCCAGTAAGAGACCTTTCAATCTGTCTCCTAGGACTGTCTGACATATTCTTATCATTCTTTAAGTATTTCCTTACTTTCTAGCACAAGATGTTTCAAGTTTATCTTTTTCTCCCCCTACCCAGCCCTGGAAGCCATTTCTCCAAAGATCCCTAGTTTATTTAAGTGGAGAATAGTGTTCAGATAATAAGATCTAGGTCTGATGGGTTATAGTGCCTTTAGGCCCCTTCAACAGTAAGAGCTAGGATACATATATATTAGAAATCACAAGTTTTACTGATATCTCCAACTCCAACCCAACCTCGCAGGATTTTTTCTTGCCTTTCCCTATTTCATATTTGTATCCTCTGCCACAGTGAGAACCCTAGGTTCCAGCATCATCAATGTACTTATTCACTTGCAGAACTATGATTTTTATATCAGTGATGTATTTTTTGATTAAAAATAATTTTTAAGTTTTTTAAAAAATCTAGGTAAGCTACAGGAGAATTACATATGTGAATGTCATTCATCATTCTGTTATTATTATACAAAGAAAGAGGTTTGGAAATTTCTGTGCCTCCCAGATAAATTTGGCAAATGAGCAAATGGTACTAAATATTTTTTTTCAATACAGCTAATATTTATTGAACCTCTTCTTCTCATCCGTAATCAGATTGCTGTTGTTGGTTTCAAAGTGTTTGTTCATAAGCAAGAACTTGATGAGCAACCCATCAGATTAATGTAAAGTTGTAAAAGTAAGGTATGACAATAGGGACAAGGAAAATATTGACAGAAAAGTAACTAAAGGAAGAGGCTAATTCAAAAGCAACAATTCTAGCAAAAAAAAAACAACTAGGGAATAAACTAAGGTAGTGCTAGGAGAATGGAAATGAAGTATAAATTTGAAAGACCTGGTAAAAGAAGATCTGACAGGACTTACTGATTAAATGTTGGGGCAATAAGGAGTTGAATCACAGTTGGTCTCATTTAGATGTCATAATAGTAGATTTCTCCACCAGATGGCAATAGTGTTCTTTCTTAGTGTATAATTTTTCATCAGGCTAGAAGATTTGCAGTTTTAGCAACTTAAAGATCAAATAGATGGACTTAAGCTTCCAGAAACTTGTATGCAAGATAGAGAAACCGTCCAATAAAAGTCCTAGAAAATATTTATTTTTTATATATATACAGATATGTGCATATTAATATACAAAATTTATATATGGATTTAACTTTAATATATGAATATGGTTAAACTGACAAGAAAGTAGTGGCCCTCAATGACCAGAAACAAAGGGAAAGTATAAATTCAAAGGGTAAACTATTACCAAAACCATTGCTTGCCTTAAGGAGTATCCCTTAAAGTCTAATCCCTGAAGGTCTAAAGTCTATGTCTTAAAGGGTATCAAATGCATGGAAGACAGAGCCCCAAACTTGAGCAAAGTGGGGAGGTGAAATCAGAAATGTGTGCATAAAGCAGAGAGCTCTGCAAGGTAACAATTTCTGTTGGTTTTCTGATATATGCACGCAAATATACAGAGAAGGGCTGGGGCAATACTTCGCTATTTTGACCTTTGCCCTGGGAAGACCATGGGAAAAAAAATAAAATCTCTCCAGAGATTTCAGCACAAAGATCCAGGGCAGAAAATATGAAATAGAAATTGAGACATGAAAAGCAGAGGAAAAAAGTCTGATATACACCCAGTTTCAAAGAGATATATTCATTTTTTTTTCATATAGTTTTAAAAAAATGAAATAGATATTTTCAGGCAGTGAATGAGTTTACAACCAAGAGATCATAACTAGAGGACATACCAAAAGATATACGTATAATTCAGGAAGAAGGAAATGAGCTCAAAAGGATGATACAAAATATAAGAAAGAATGGTGAATTTCAGAAAATGATAAATATGTAGGTAAGTATAGGTAAACATTGATTATGTAAGATGATGATATATAATTTGTGGAGTTAATAAGAACTAAAATACTAGAAAATAGAACATAGTTTAGTTGATCAGATCAAGCATTAAAGAAGGAAAAGAGATTGATTAACTTTCAACATGGCCAAGTTAAAAGTACATGTTACGATTTCTTAACAACTAAACAATAAAATAGAGTATGTAACTTCCAAACCAGAGGCATGTAGAAAGAGGGAAAAAATATCAGTCCAAAACAAGTTAAGAAGGGGGCGGAGGAGAAAAGAGATATAAAGAAAAGAAGGAACAAAGTAATACAGAGGAAATAAATCCAAATATATATCTTATCATAATCAGTGTGAAGATACTAACTTTCCCAGTTAAGGAGATGAATACTGTCATGTTGATTTTTTTTTTTTTTATGTTCTAGGAGTACGTTAAATGTGAGTTTATACTAAAAGGATGGAAAACTATCAGGCAAATATTAACTAAAAGTTGGT